CTTAATTCAATAGAGTCCATTCTCTTTCTCCTCCCACATATGGAGTACATCCTCTTTCTCTTCCCAAATATCATACATATACAATGTATTAGAACAAGGTCATATTCAATGACAACCCACAAGAGATTAGTTTTAATTTGCCTAATCCTCATGCAATTTCTACAACAATCACGGCTATCCTCCACCGATAGCCTAAAACAGATATACAATCGTCAAAACAGATAAATTATCCAAATTTCCATAGGTGAGAGATAACATATATAATCGTCCATTCAATTTCATGTCCTCAATATCAATTTTACTATTTGTACAAAATAATTATTTGAAACTTTTTAGGACAAACCCTATTTGCCTCAAATTCCAAACTTGTGTCACAATCAACAATTTAACACAACACATCTTCATTTCCACACCCATGACCATTTCCAATACTTTTATTTGAAAACCCTTTTTGAGATTTTAAACCAAAACGCTAGGTTTGTCTAAAATTTTCCCCAAATCTCAATATTGTTTATGCAACAACTAATAGCTAAGTTAAAAACCATATAAGAATATAGAAAATCCCTACCTCAAGTTTAGAAGACCAATGGTGAAGTGAAGAATCTTCAAAGATGCCGAAACCAAGATTTATTCGGATCAAAACGTAATTCTTGAGATGCTCTACCTTTTTAACAAAGGTACAAGGGTGGAGAAATCACTAGATCTAGATGAAAAAGTAGAGAGGGGGTAAGTTTTAGAGAGAGAGAGAGGGAGCGAGTCTCAACTTTAAGGTTTGGAGAGAAATGAATCTAAAAAAGTGATGTAAAATGACCTTTTTACAAACTGATATACGCACAGTCCGCCCGAGCGCGAGAAGTGATGCTCGAGCGTCAAACACATTGTTCCGCTCGAGCGCAGAATACATACCTCTAGAAGTTTTGCAGACGAAGAACGTCGTTCGAGCGCAAGATTGGCCACTCGAGTGCACGCCCACTCGAGTGTAGGAAATGCCGCTCGAGCGTAGAATAAATTTTCCCAGTAGTTTTGCAGGCCTGCAAAAGTACTGAGAGTTTGCAAAGTCTGCTCGAGCACAAAATGTGCCGCTAGAGTGGAGGACCAAAAATCTGGGCAACTCAAGTTTGAAAACCAAGCAACCAACCTATTTAAAACACAACCACTACAATCCAATAACCAAAATTAAGGGAGAATAAGGGGGAAAATACATGACCAACAATACCAAGCTATGAAATCCGAGTCCAAAATACAAATGGGTCGGGTCTAAACCAAAAATGTTATACATAACTCAAAATTCCACACTATTTTTAAAACTCCACACTCAAATCGTAACTAAACACATAACTAAAAAAATTAACATATTTAAAAGTATATTTATAAAATAAAATAAAATATTTTTTTTATTTTTTAATATTTCAAAAATATATTCAAAATATTTTTAAAAAAATACAGAACACAAATGTATGAAATATAGTGCACATTAAAATAAATAAATAAATATTTAAAATATAAAATATTTATCCTAAAAAATAAAATAATTTTTTAAAAATATTTTAAAAAAATAAATCTAAAAAATTTCAAAATACAATTCAAAACTATTTTCAAAACTCATAACCAAACAATTTTTTTTTTTTTTTATTAAAAACTCAACTCAAAACTTATAACTCAAAATATGACTCTACACTCAAATCTTGATTCCAAAAATAATTTTCAAAAACAAAATAAAAAATATATTTTTCAATTTGTTTTTCTTTAAATAGGGTTTTGAAAAGAGTTTGGTTTTGAGTTTTGAAAAGAGTTTTGAATTGTGTGTTTGGTTATAAGTTTTGAAAATAGTTTTTGAATTGAGTTTGATATGTTTTTGAATTGTGTATTTAGTTGTGAGTTTTGAAATAATTTTATATGTTTTTGATTGGAATCACAATTCCAAAACAAAACTGAACGCCTGTGTAAATACTCGAGTCTCGTCATGCAAGAAAGCCTCTTATGTTGCTTTTTTTTATCCAACTTCTCATTCTTCTTTTTCTTTCTCTTCTTCAAAAAAGCAGATGAATTTGTCACATCCATAAATTTTCAAATATCGGAGGTTAGGGGTGTAAAAATGGCCTGTGGCCCGTGGGCGGTCTGAAATCCGCTCACAGCTTAGGGTGGGCCCAGGCCCGAGCCCAGTTCGGGACCTTGGGCTTGGGCCTAGGGCATCATTTTGAAGCCCAGCTCGATCGACCTGTGCCCTAACCCATCGGCTCGATCATGGCTTGGCCCACCCGGGCCGCCCAAGGCCCAATGTCATTTTTGGTAGAAAATAATAAAATTTTGGTAAAAAAAATAAAAAAATAATAAAAAAATGTCCAGGCCCTTTGGCCCACCCTGAGGCCCGCCCAAGGGTAGGCCTAATTTTTTTGCCCATGGGCTGACCCGGCTCGATTCTAATTTTGACGGGAGCTCGCGCAGTCTGATTATGGGTCAGACGGGACCAAATTTACACCCTTACCAAAGGTATGGTAGACTGTGATGTAGTCTCACATTATTCTCCCACAACATCACGAATCCTTTACAGTTATTAATGTCCAATTTCTCGAGTCCCATTAAACCTTGAGTAAACCATGTCGGTAGGAACACCAAATTTCCAACCTAATAAATATCCAAAGCAGTTGTTGGAGTCAAATTCTTAGACATTGCATTATTTGGTAACACTTTATCAACTACTCTTGGATGGTAAAATGAATGGAGAACTGTAACAAATCTAATATCCAAGGTGAAGGAACCGAAGTCAAGCCTATTCTTCATCTCTTGGAAGGCTTGGGAGCGTAACATGACTCATAAACAAGGACGTAAGTGGTGGAAAAACGAGTCTCGAAGCATCAATCAACCATTGTGAGCAATGACTAATCTCAAGAGATTTACTACAAGAAAGATCATTAGATAACCTTCTAACAAGTCCGGGAGAATCATCAATTTTAAGAGATTTTAAACTAGGAAGATCAATGGGTAATCTTCCTCTGAGTCTCGTACATGATAGGATGTAAAGCTCACTAGGTTGACCAAAAAGATGAACTCCCTCGATTTCGAAAGCAGACCAATCCTCCTATTTTGGCATATTCACAAAGCTCAGTCTCTCTAGAGAGGGGAAAGGTTTGGCACCACATTGTTACCCATAAAACTCACAACCAAGGCGCTTTTTACACTCATTCCTTCAAGGTAAAGGTCTTTTAAGTGAGGGTAGTCGTCCAAGCAACTGCAAAGATGTACAATATTTATAATATTCTACTCGCATAGACACTATTTCAAAGAACGAAGCATCTCCACCTAATTAGATAATCTTGAATTGCCATACCCACGGATGAATGTTGAGCTTTGTTTGAAATTTTCTTCTGCTTGTTATCCGTTAAATTATTCTCCAACTGAAAATAGATATCCCCTGCCATTGCTTGAGCTAATTCATTATGGCTTGACGATTGAAAAACCCCTTAATTTCCCCTATTCAACACCACCATTGTCCTCAAACCATAGATTGTCCAAGTTTTTACCCGAATCAACGACTCTTTCTGCCTCTGTACAACCACCATTGAAGATCTAGTCTCGATGCCATTAGTGGCGTTGATTTGAGGTAGAGAGTCCTTCGTAGGGGTATAGAAGTCCTCATGGGACGCAATCTCATCTCTCAAACTCTCCGACGGAGACACTATGATGATCATGGTAGGAGAAGGGGCTCCGACGACGGCAATTCAACGAAGAAGATTGGTGATTTGGTGGAGAAAGGGGAATTAGGACATGGTTGGAGAAGATCTTCTTGGGACGACGTCGTGTGGCAAGATTGGAGATGGTGTAATCTGACTGTTGAAGGTAAATCTCGATATGACCTTTCACATCGTCGGTGCTGCCGTTAAAGTATTACTTTCTTGCAAGAGGTTGGAGATCTCTTGATGCCGCCCTGTCTATGCTGGTTGTGAAGTCTCTGTCGGAGAAGGAGAGAGCAGACACGCTCTTCAAGAAGGCAGAGCTGCGGCAGTCAACAGTCAGAGGAGGGTTGACTCAGTGCTGGAGGAGAAAGAAATAGAAACGAGAGAAGAGAGAAATGGAAGGGGTGATTTAGAGAGAGAGAGAGAATGGTGATTTAGAGAGAGATAGTGAGGGTTTGATTATACAGGAACAAATAGGCGTGAAACTCAAATAGGGACAGATTGGTCATTTCACAAATATACATCCTTATGATGATATTATTTTGGGTAATTTTATTTTGATATTATTTTGGGTAATTTTATTTTCATACATCATTTATTTTTTGTACACACATTTAATGAATTAAATATTTATTACAATTTTATCATTAAACAAAATGACCACTATAGATATCAATACACAACAAATCTTAAAATTAAATTTTCTCTGTACACATCTTTAGGAATAAAAATTCTCAGTGCACATTCTTTGAAAAAAAAAGTCATACTAGGGCCTATATTGTTCTTCTATTGTTTTCACTATCATTATTTTGTAAATTTAACTTTCATAGGATTGCGAAAAAAAAAATCAATGATGAAAACTTTTCATATGATTTGTTTTTAGATTTTTTTGATCGTGATGAAAACTTACTATCATAGTTGATTGTGAACCCAAAAAAAAAGAAGTTTTCATCAACTTCCATCAATCTTTTTATCATTTCATTGTTGATTAGCTCTAAAGAATTACCGAAAATGTGTTGGTGGATTGTTAGATATGTCAGAATTACTGTTGTGATGCGTGTAAATGTGTTTTGTGTATTTAAATTATGAGCTAGGAATATATTTAGAACATTTGATATGTAGAATGAAAAATTCATAATGTAACTAAATTAATAAGTGCGTAAATTAAAAAATAATGTGTACAAAATGTAAATGGTACGTGGAAATACAATTTTCTAACTATATTCATGCATAAACTTTTAGGTAAAAAGAATTTAAATTTGAATTTATGGTATGAGAGCCTAAACTAAACAAATGTGAGAAAAAAGTGTGGATTGTTTTAAAAAAATTGAAGAACAAAGGCTGTTTGGTGATAAGGATGCCATCTAGTCTATTATTTGATTGGTGGGTTACACCATATCATTATTGTGACATGAATTAGCCAATTTTTCCTTCTCAGATCCTACTCCAGTCTCGCTTCCCTCTGGTTTTATCTCTCTCTAAACCCTAAACCTTTGAATCTCTCTATCTTCGATCAAAGCCAGACTGGACACAAAATGGAAGTGATTTAGGGTTTTAAGGATTTCCACAACCAATATTTGCAGCGATGGAGGTAGATAAGGAGACTTCTCCCAGCTACTTTGACCCCGAAGATCTCAGCACCAGAGAGCGCAATCGTCGTTATGGGTATTCTATTTACCATACCATACGCTTTCCATTTCAGTACTAGTCACTTTTTTCCCTCTATTTCTGCTTCACTATCATAACAACCCCTTTGTAGTTTAGTTTGTATCTTTCATTTTTATTTAAAATGCCCAATTTCAGCCAGAATCATTTGGATTGTTCACATTGACTTCCATCAATTTGGTCTAACCACTTTTATATACAAATACCATGTATACATCTGCTAGTGGAGTTACACCCATATAATTGGAGACTTTTCCTAACCAACACGGAATTGGGTTAGCCATTGCATAGTTATATTTCATATTTTACAACCACTGCAAAAATTCATTATTTACTTGAGTGTTTTAATGAGATGCGTACATGTAGGCTTGATTATATATTATTGGGACATGATTATATATGGTTCCTATTGGTTTTTCTTTGAAATCATGCCAACTTTCAAATATTGTCGCTTTTTTGAATTTATGCTTCCTCGAGTTTCTAATACTTTGCATCACTTGCCAATATCTTTAAATTTGAAAACAATTATTTGTGGATAATATAACAAAGTGACCAACTAATCATATACCATTTAAACAAATCTTTTTATATAATTTTTCTTGTGCTTTACCAAATATTCACAATCATGATACTTGATAGTCATGATCAAAATGAAGTATGTGGTTGAATAAAATATATCTAAAAGTCAAAATCAAAAAACACTAGCGTTCCATTCCTAACATAAGCAATGCAATACAATCCTAAAGTGTATAATGATCATTTTCATTAAGCATACGACCATCATCATTGTAATCTAAAGGTGGAGCTAATAAATTATATATGTTAAAATATAAAAAAATGCTCGATGTAAGCTTATGAAATAGAATGTTTTTAGTGCAGTGTTGTAAATATGCTTTGTTTTACCTACTAAACGCTCTTCTGTTATTGCAAGTGCGTTTTTACCAACACTGCTTTAACGAATTACGGAATTTACTGTATTTCGCTTGTGCATACCTGCACTTATTGATTGTGCAATCTGTAGGAAAAGGTACTCAACTTCCAGTCACGACAATTCAGTTTCTTTCAGTGGAACCAGGATTTTGTATGATGGGCAGAGCATTGAAAGGTGGCCAAACGCTGCACTTTTTCTTGAAGATATCAAACAAGAGGTTGAGAGCTTTGATGCTGATCAATTAGAAGGAGCACCTTCAAAGACACAATCTGCTTTGTGGAGAAAATCATTGGTTGGCAGTCGTGGTGTATCTGAGGTAGATGTTGCTGCTGATTCGATACGTCGACCTGGAAGTTATTCATTAAAATCTTGCAAGCATGAGGATGCTGCATTGTCAGATGGTGGAGATACAACTTTTACTTTATTTGCTTCTCTACTTGATTTTGCTCTCCAAGGTGCTTGAAGTAAAATTTCTCAATTAAAATCACAATTTTCTCACTGTTTTTTGCATATGGATTGGTCTCTTGTGTCAATGGTTATAGATTTTGACCAGGTTCGAAGGATGTGTTTAAGTTGCATTTATTTGTCTAACCTATGCCAGTTTCTGTAGGTGTGAGATCACAAGATGTTTTATTGAATCTAATTAATGTTTATCAATTTTGGAGCTGAGTGGTGTGAATCATTTGAAAAAAAAATTGAACTTTAATTATTGTGGATTCATTGACATCAAAGAGGGCAATTCATCAAGTGCCTTAATCTTTTGGAGTTTCAAGAACTATTTGATTATGCTTTTGTATATGTGATGCCACTATGTTTTTGTGTTTATGTGTAAATCCAAGTTCACCCCTTTTAAATATATATATATATATATATGTGGAGTTTTTCTGTTTGTGTCATACATTATGGTATATATCCATTTAGGATTGCATGATGATGAAATAGTTGAATGCTACTTGGTTTTTTGTTGTTTTTGGGATAGACATTTAATTACTTGCTAAAACTGGCATGGAAACTTTTCAAATTGCTTGATGCTTATGATCTTCTGTAGAAATGAAATGTGGTTTTGACCTCAAATCTTTGAAGTTCATTTTGAGTCAACTTTTCTATCCTCTAGTTAAATTTTTATTTTACATATTACTAAATCTTTAAATTTTTGATGTGCTTATGTTATTCTGAGCCATGTTGGATGCTGATCTAGTAACTATTTTGTGCTAACCCAATAAATATTTCCATTCCATAACTCCTAGAGAATGTTTTGGAGGATTTTGGACCTAAGATGGTAGACTTGAGAAGCTTACAAAGATTATTGATTTGCTTCTTTGAAAGTTGAATGGATGCTTTATCTTGTTGCACATTTTAAATTACTACATTGGTGTTCAGAATTTCCTTTCTGTGCTCAAGTTTCTTCTGCCACAAAACTTATTATGAATAACATTTATGATTCCCTTGTGTATCTTACAGTTGACATTCTGTGTATCACAGGGTTGATGCCTATCCCTGATCTGATATTGCAATTTGAGAGATCTTGCCGCAATGTATCAGAGCCAATAAGGTGGCTCTCACACTTCTCATATATTTGTATTTCTATTGAAGAGTCTTCTTTTGGAATGTGCACACATGTACCACTGTAGCATGTTGAGTATTGTGAATATTATTGTAGTATTTTACTGAGCATGCACGAGAAACATATCTTTATTAGGATGAAAATAGGAGTGGGTAGATAAGGGAGGAGGAAGTCTCATTTCTAGTTTATAGAGAAAGAAACAATGAGAAAGGTCTTTGCCTAAAATATTTTGTACAATGCACCCCTTTTTTTTTTTTTCGTTGTGTAAATACTGGCTCTGAATTGTGTTGAATGAGGTTCTTAGGATGTAGTTATCATGAATATTTTGTTTTGATTTTTTCATATTAAATTTGGTGATGCTCAGCATCTGGGTTGGTTGTTTTACTGTGTCCCTGTGCTCTACTTCCGTAGGTATGGATCCAATGAAAGACATAGAATTGTGGAGGATAAGTTGATGAGGCAGAAGGCTTGACTCTTACTTGATGAGGCTGCTTCTTGGTTTCTTTTGTGGTACCTGTATGGGAAAGGAAATAAATCCCTACCTTTAATGTTCCTATCAAATTATAGGTAAAGTGGGTTCTACAGTGTCACCACAACAATATTGAACTTCTTGAATGCATGCTCATTGAAGTTGGGAAGTTTATACTTCATGATTTATGTATTGAGGAGTGAAGTATCTGTGTAATTTATCCATTCTCTGTTGGTATCAAATTATTTAGTTGTGCTTAAGAAGAAATAGCGTTGTGACATTCAAAAATTATTTTAAAGTAGTTCCATGTTATTAGATTAAAGCACACTTGAAGTTTATATTTGTCTGTTACATCCCTGCTGAATATATTAGCGTATAAGTGATCTGACCGTTCTCTTAGACATTTATAATTAATTCGTCTCTCTTGGTCAATGTAATATTTGACCACTCCACTCTGCACCTCACCTTTTAATCCATTGCTTCAATTCGGCTAGTTATGTGGACTTCTGAGTATCTTGCTGGTTCGTGGTGTAACGATATTTGAGACAACATTGGTATATGTTACAATATCGGATCGTGAATCAGTTAGTATTAGAAATCTTGGAAGATTTTTATTCCTGATTGTTGGTGCATGTCGTACTTGATACCATGTCTAATTTAATTCTTAGAAAGCTTTACGAAGTGTTATCATTTGCCTTATTAAACAAATTTCTATTTGATGGTGAAATTGGTCATTCTTTTATGTACATTTCTCATCTCGTAACTTCCCCCAAATTGAATTCTTAAATTAGATGATTTGTTATCCCAACATTCATCTTAGAATGTTCAAACTTTAGTTACATAGTTGCTCACATAGTTTCCTAGTTAGGAATAATGATGCATATTGAAGTTACTTAGTGTAATTGAATGTTTATACGAGGTAATCTTGTTGGCTCCTGCATGTTTATGTTGGCTTGTTTGTGAAAATTATTTTTTTCATCTTCTTGCAGGAAATGAAGAACTTCCAGAAGATCTGATACTGGTGATGCATCTTCTATTGTTAGCTCTTAAGTTTTCCATTATGTTTTCTTGCTCTTATATTGTGAGTTTCATCTAATGCCTTATGTCAGTCCCCAACAACTTCGCATTTGGAGGCTTGCCAGTTTGTTGTTGCAGATCATACAGCACAATAAGGCCTCTGGATTGTTCAGTGGCTTGAAGGACTAGCCTCCAAAGTCCTTGATTTGGATAATGAGGTGATTGAGTCTGCTACTTTCTCCTATTTTGACAGTCTAATGCTTATCCATGGTTTGTTGTTTCTTTACTTTTTAAAATTTAATTTTGATTTTGAATGCCTTTCTTGTTGCATTTCAAAAGATAGTCTGAAGTTGCCAACTATTGTGAATTGATACCATAATCCACCATATACTTGAATTATTTTTTCCTTTTTCGATTAGAGAAATTATCATAGTTGAAGGTGGCTATTTTCAGCCATTGTTATTGTTTAGTTTATTTGAGATCTATTTTAGTAAACAAATGATTTAGGTAGTGAAAATTAACATCTTTTTTCTTTAACATGCACATCAATGATGTGTAAGGCTTGGAGTGCCTTCTTTCCAAATTAGCAGACAATTTAGTGATCAGAGACTTTTTTCCTGGAGAGATTTCAGTGCATGATAATAAATCAAATATAATATCAAGATATTGGATGGCAAAGAAGATAAAATATGCAATAGGTTTTATGTGCTGAAATTTGAAAGCAAAATATTTAAAGCTTTTATTCAGTATTAGTAAAAGGAGAATGTGATTTGGTAGAAGAATCAGTGACTTGCAAAATAAGTTGCCTGGTTGCGTTAGGAGAGTAGTGATGATGGGCCCTTGGAGGGTTGAATAGGAGCAATTGTAAATTGTATTCTGAAAGCAAAATTTTGTTTTAATACATTGTAGTTCAGGAGGCGTTTGGTGGGAAGGTTACAAAGCATGATATGGTCCTGGAAAAGGGAGAACTTCAGTAGATAATTATATTTAAATGGAGACTAGTAAGTCTAAGATATATATAAATTCACATGACTATCCATATTGTAAGTTTACAACTATGGTGTGTGGTGATCAAGACACGCATGTACTTACTAGAATAAGTCATCTAGAAACTAGAGATGGATTACATTACATGCATCATGGGTGAGGATCAAATGCTTGTGTCATGAAGAAATTAAAGGTTGTGGAACAGTAACAACTTTACATTCATAGGCTAACACATTATGGCAGAAATTATAGCACAAATTATTAACTTCCCTGTTTTTAGGAACCATATCTGTTTTTTATTTTATTTTATTTTTGGGAGCAATTTACAGATATGGGAAAGGCATTGGGTTTTTAATTGAGGGCTTTGAAGGTAAGAAAAGTCTCATTGTAGGATGAAGCGTAACAAAACTGAGGTTTTCACCTGTTACAGTGGAATAAATTATATTCAACTAGGGAGTATTTATTTAATTTTTTTTGATAAGTAAAGTATTTATTTTATTTTATTCATTTTTTTTTTTTTTTTATGAGTTCAAGTCGACATAGTGTCACTTTGTGTACTATGTCAAAGGTTAGGTGTGTACCCAATCTTTCCCCTCCCAAACACACATTAATGTGTACTATTTGGGTGTTGTTTTTTTTTGAAAGTATTGATGATATCTTCATGTGGAATAGAGGAGGTATTTTATATGATGAGAGAAAAGAGAAGGAATAAAGAGGGATATAAATGCTGCATCAACTACTAAGCGAAAAATTTATTAGGTGTGCTGTGAAACTAAGAGGGTGACTGAGCAAAGGTCAAGAAATGAGACAAGAATAGTAGTATATTATTTGGTTTAGTATAATGTTGGTTTTCCATGGAAGTTATTGTTATGTTATGCAACTGAAGGAAAGATGAGCATCTTCATATTACATGGGGGCCAAGAAGTCCACCGAAGTGATTCTTAATTACAAATAGGCTAAGGTTGCATTGGGAAGGTCTTCTTTTGGATTGATTATGGTTGGATTGGTCAGGCACTTCAGGGAAGAAATCCCATGTTGTATGCCAGATGTGATCACTAGTTTGACTAGTACAGACTGTGATAGTTTAGAGCTTGATTTCCTTGATTTTAGTTGAGATGCTTTAGAGTTCAATGGGTATATATGAGAAGCAAGACTTGAGTTGGTAAAAGGATTTTGTAGAAACTGGGTGCAGGTGGTGATGGTGTAATGATAATGGATAGCCACTGTCCAACAAATTACTAAGACTGCTGATTTTATCTATCAATTGTTAGATAAAAAAAGCGCAGATGTAAGGAAATATCCATAAATTAATTTCATGATGAAAGTAGAAACATTGTTGTGTGGGATCAAGCATATGTATCGAATTGGAAAGAAAGCCAAGTAGGACAATGGGTGTGCTTTATTGATGGACAAGATCCAGGAAGTGACGGAATAACACACTCATAAGGGCGAGCTTTAATTAAAACAGAGGAGGCTGAAATGGACGATTGATTCGTATGGATGGATGCTGGAGGTTTCATTAATACCACCAGTTGTGGGAGGGGTAAGCAAATGTTGACTAAGCTTTTTGGTCATGCAAAATGAAAATGGAGACGTCTTAATGAAAACATAGATCATGGGATGACAATTTTGTGGCTCTCATTCACATTGTTTTTTTTAGCCCGGTTGACTTCCAGTTTTCATATTTGAACATGCGGTTGGCCTGAAGCAGAAGGATCAAACCATGATTAAGCTATTTTGGGTCCTATTATCAATATCTAGACAGAATACCAAAGAACCATTCGGCAGCCATTTAGTCATTTATCTTCTTTGAAGAAGATTGTATTTAAAAATAATTGTTTGATGTCCTTGGTTCTTCCCTGACAGTTTAAACTTCATAATAATTTGACTGAAATTGTATAAGTTCTGTGGTATGGTTGGCATAACTGTTGGTTGTGTTTGCAGTTGAGAGGTTCTCATGTTGGTACTTATCTCCCCAGCTCGGGGGTCTGGCGTCGCACCCAAGGTGCTCTAAAGAAAGGTGTCTCAAAACCAAAAACTGTTCATAACTTGGATTTTGATGCTCCAACGCATGAACATCCCGAAACTAGTAGATCTAGAAGATTTTTAACATTTTTTGAAATATATTATTTGTTTAGAATTATGTTGACTTTTTTTTTTTTTTTTTCATCAACAGAAACAAGATGAATCTCTTCTGGAAGATGTCTGGACTTTGTTTAGGGCTGGCAGACTAGAGGAGGCATGTGATCTTTGCCGGTCTGCTGGACAGGTATGCAAATATTTTTGAGGTTGTAAACTTCCTGTCCATTGTGATATTAAATTCCCTTTGGGCAGCCATGGAGAGCTGAACTCTATGCCCATTGGGAGGGTTGGACCTATCTCCATCAGTTGAAGCCCTGGTAAAAAATGGAAACAGTAGAACCTGCAAGCTATTGAACTTGAAAGTGGCATTGGTCACCAATGGCACCTTTGGAAATGGGCTACCTATCGAACTTTCTTATGCAGTTACAATGATTTCTATAAATGTCACACACATATTCCTTGTGCTCCCTTTTTCTCAATATTTTGTGGTTCTAATTTTTCTCTTCAGCAACTCCCATTGATTGATAAATCAAATCTTGTTCACTTTCTCTTGTAAGATTGGTAGACAATTGACGTTATTGTAAATTGTTTTCTGCTATTGTTGTTTGGAGTTTCTCAATATTTGTAGCTTAATAAGATGCTGCCATTTCTCCATTAAAACATGGTCGATCAATTAAGTGATTTCTTTCCTCTATGCCTTCTTATATTGAAGAGAATTGCAGAGCAAGATGGTGGGAAATATGAAATGGCAGTATATGCACCCCAGTGTAGTAACTTGAAGCGTATTCTTCCTATTTGTACAGACTGGGAGGTAAGTTTTTGCTTCTTAATGATGCTACCTCCTAATTTTTGGTCATAATTGATTTACTTGGTCTAATCTTCAAGAGAATCGTGTTTGCTATAGGTTGGATAGATTTCGTCATACTTTGGGTTGGGAGGAGTTGTTTCCTGATTTAAGGCAAGAGGTAGTGCCAAGAGTGGTTTCGGACCATAGCCCGGTGATTTTTGAGAGTTGTCCCTTCAAATTGGGTCCAACTCCCTTTAGATTCGAGAACATATGGCTGGAAAATAACTCTTTTAAAGCTTATTTCAAGGAGTGGTGGGAGAATGCAAGAGCCCATGGGTGGGGAGGGTTTCAAGTTTATGCAAAAGTTGAGAGGGGTCAAGGAGAATTTAAAGGTTTGGAAGTGTTAAGTTTTTGGTGATCTTTTTTTTTTTGATCTGCAACAACAAAGATATATAAGGCATAAGGCCAAAAAGAAGCGAGGATAAGGCATCCTCTACAGGAAAGATGACATAACGAAGAAAAAACCAAAAGAAACAAATCAAAATACAAAAAGACAAAACATATACTTCTACGCAATACAAACTGACACCCAATCTGTAGCAAGCATAAAAAGCGGAATCCCTCGAACACTGGACTGTTGGGGCCCAAAAAGACGTCAAGTATCTCACCCTATCCCATAAATAATCTATATCCCGGGCAACTCCTTCGAAGACACGTGCATTTCTTTCCAACCAAATGATCCAGAAAATTGCGAAAACAACACAACTCCAAAGCACTTTAGCTCTCTTCAACCTTCCAGAAGCTTGAAAATCAAATAATAGTATTTGAGCACTTCCTTTTGGGGCCACCCACATCACATTGCCCAATCCAAACACTCTATGCCACAAACGTCACGCCACCAAGTAGTGCAAAAATAGATGATCCGGAGATTCTCCACTTTTGCAACACATAATGCACCATTGAGGATTAAGGTACTGTGAAGGTCTCCTCTTTTGCAATGAATCATTTATCAAAGTACCCCCATGAACCAAGATCCACATGAACACTTTCACCTTAAGAGGAGCACTTGCCTTCCAAATCTTTTTATGAAATAGGAACTGAGAATTATCAATGATTTTGTCAAGAAAAGATATACAAGTAAAAGAACCCGACGAATGAATATTTCAAACCCAGCTATCCTCCAAATTTGGAAGCAAAGAAACATTTTTGAGCCTTGACAATAGAGATACCAATTCCGGAACTTCCCTCTCATGAAGATTCTGGAGGAAGTTAAAATTCCAAGAAAAAGGAGCAAACGAAGAACCTGTCACAGACACAACATAACAATTATGAGACTGAAAAACTCTATACAAAAGTGGATAGGACGCAGCAAAGGACGAAGAACCTACCCAAACATCCTCCCAAAATTTGACCTTTTTCCCATTACCCACCCTCATAGAAATGAATCGGGACGAAACTGGATAAATTTGAGAAGTGGACTTCCAAGGAGCATGCCTGTTACCCCTAGTGACCACCTGAGAGTCCCTACCATTAACATGAGTCCCATATTTACTTTTAATAATCGCATGCCATAATGAACCACATTCCATTGGGAATCTCCATAACCACTTGCCCAGTAGAGCCATGTTTCTAGCCACTGGATTACCAATGGCTAAACCTCCCTTCTTCTTAGGTAAGGACAATATTTCCCATTTCACCAAATGATCCTTGCTTCCTTCATCCTTTCCTTCCCAAAGAAAGTCCCTCATCAACTTTTCTAGAGATTTTGCTACCTTGACCGGAATCTTGAACAAAAACATGAAATAAATTGGAATTCTACTTAGCACTATCTTAACCAAAGTGTACCTACCCCCACGGGATAGTAAAGCCCGACTTCACTCTTCTAACCTCTTACTTATTTTTTCCACAACTGGATCCCAAAACACTTCACCCCTTGGGTTACCTCCCAGTGGGAGTCCCAAATACTTCATTGGAAATGTCTCTATACCGCACCCAGTAACTCAACCACTCGCTGAATCAGACTTGAATTAGCATTAATACCCGCTACCCTACTCTTCTCTAAATTTACCCTGAGACCTGTGAGCATCCCGAAAAGCCTCACCACTAAAAAGAGGTTAACCATTTGGCTCTCGTCCCCTGTAGAGAAGAAAGTAGTGTCATTCGCAAATTGCAAATGTGTCACACTAATCCTATCTCTACCGACCTGTAAGCCTTCAAACAGACCTACATCTTTAACCCTATCCACCATCCTTCCTAACACATCTGCTTCTATTATGAAGAGAAAAGGAGATAAAGGATCTCTCTGTCTCAACCCTCGAGATGCCTTAAAACTCTTCCCTGGTTACCATTGACTATCACCGACATATTGCAAGATGCTAAACATCCCCTAATCCAGGATCTCCATCTCTCACCACACCCTTTCTTGTCCATTACAAAATCCAAAAAATACCAATCTACATGATCGTACGCTTTCTCAAAATCTGTCTTAAACACAAGGCCTACCTTTCCTGACTTCCTACACTCCTCTACCACCTCATTTGCCACCAGAACCACATCTAGAATCTGTCTACCTTTCACAAAAGCCCCCCCGTGTCTGAGAAATTGTATCACTTAAAGAAGACCTCAACCTTTTTGACAATACCTTTTCTAAAATCTTGTAGAGTGATGTAACCAAACTAATGAGTCTAAAATCTCCAATTATGATGGCTCCATCCCTCTTAGGAATCAAACAGATAAATGTGGCATTTGAACATAAATTAACAACCCCTGTCTCATAAAATTCTATGAAAACTCTTACCAAATCCCCCTTCACCACCTCCCAACAATCTTGAAAAATAGCCATGGAAAACCCATTCGGACTTGGAGCCTTGTCCCTTTCGCACTCAAAAACTGCATCCCTAATCTACGTTTCCTCAAAAGTCTTTCTAACCAAGTCGCACTTTCTTGATCAATAGGCTGCCACTCAAGCCCTTCTAGCCCAGGCTTGACTAACTCATCATTCGAAAACAATTTTGAATAAAAATAAAAAATCCCTTGGACTATTTGCTCCTTTGTGTCCACCACTTCTCCTGGCCTTACTTCCAACCGCTTAATGAACTTCTTCCTTTTCCCATTCTGCAATCCTATGAAAAAGTTTTGAACTAACATCCCCCTTCTTTAGCCACTTCACTTTTGCTTTTTGTACCCAAAAAATCTGCTATCTAAGAGTCAACTCTTCCAACCTCACACCTAGCTCCCTCCTCTCTCTCCTCAATGCCTCAACCTAATTCTCTTGCATCTCCAAAGTGTCTATCTCCTCAATCCTACGCATAATCTGAAATTTTGATGATTCCAAGTTCCCAAAAACCTCCTTATTCCAAAGCTTTACGTTCTCTTCAATCACCTTCAACTTTCTCATGAATCTAAAACCCTCCCACCTGTGACATCTAGCATTATTCCACCACCCCGCAAAGTTCTCTTTGAACAAAAGATGTTCCAACCACATATTCTCAAATCTAAATAGAGCCGAACCCCACCTAAAAGGACAACTCTCAATCATAATGGGACAATGATCGGATACCAATCTTGGTAACGCCTCCTGTCTCACATTGGGGAAAACCCCCTCCCAATCCAAAGAAAATAAAAATCTATCCAGATTACAACATACCCGACTTTCCCGGAGATTAGACCATGTGAATCTGGCATCAAGTAAAGGAGGATCCACTAACTCGCACCTTCTAATAAACCCATCAAAATCTCTCATACTTTTATTGATTCTACTCTCATCAAGCTTTTTCGAAATCTTCCTAACCACATTGAAATCCCCCCTTAAACACCAGTTGGGAGAGCATAACCCATATAACCCATATAACTCCTCCCACCAATCCTTCCTCTTAGAGGGATAGTTTGGGCCATATACCCCCGACAACCACCACTCACTATTATCTAGATTCCTGAACCTAATTGATAATGAAAACTCTCCAACTAAGGATTCGCACTCTGGCACAACCCTCTCATCCCAAATACTTAAAATACTTCCAGACCTTTCCACTGATGGAACAAAAGCCCACTTTTATGCCTAAATCCCCAAATACTTTTAATAAAATTCTGGTCACAAACTTCCGCTTTAGTTTCGTGAAAAATGACAATATCAGGTTGATGTTTCCTCAAAAAATCCCTAATGACCCCCCTCTTCTTCTGGCAGCCCAAACCGCTCACGTTCCAACTAACAATCTTCATTGAGAAACATTGTCACCCCTAACCTCCTCATGTCGCCTATCATAATTAATTGTGCTCACCAAATTCCTTAACTCCCTGGGCCCCCTTCTAACCGTAGCCCCTCCCTTTCTAGCACTCTCCCCCCTTAGTGACACTATTATCCTTTCCACTAACACTATCCCTCCCATTTAATCTTACTAGCGAAAGCCCCATAACTTGAAGCAAATGCTTGAAATGAGGTACTTTGTTTTCCTCAATTGGACATGACGCATACTTGCTTAACTCCATCAACCAACGCTCTGTCTCTACCTCACTATCCCTCAAACCACTAAAACCACAGCCTCTTCTGTTCATATGATTAACAGAATCTCCCTCTTGAGCATCATTTACTAGGCCTACAGTAATATTAGCATTATGGTTCCGTTTGTTTGGGGTTATAGGGAGGGGATTGGGATTGATAGTGAGGTGGGACTACTATATGGGGTGTTTGTTTTGAGAGATGGGGAGGAGACTTCTAATCCCTTGGTATTAGTAAAGGCCTCGGAAGGGGGATTGGTATGGAGGAGGTAGAGATGGTATTAGAAAAATAGTGAGGGGATTAGAAATTTTTTATTTTTTTTATTTTTTATATATTGGGAATTTTTTTTTAAAATATTAATGTTTAATTTTTTATATTTTTTTATTTGTTTTATTATTTTATATAAAAATAATTTAACAATTCCTCACTATTAATCCCCTCACTAACAATCCCCTCACTATGAATCCCCTCTATTCTATCTCTGAAAACAAACGGGGCCTATAGGACATAGGATTAATGGTAAAAGCAT